CAGATGAAGACACAATTTTGAAGAGTTGTCAGATATATACAGCATGCACAGAATTGTCTTATACTTCAACTGTTTCAACAAATAACTTTAAAAACTAAAATCCTTTCCTATTTTAGGCTATCCTATTACATTGTTGTTCCACAGAAGTAGATTATTGGACTGGAAACTGGATTATCCAAGAGGAAAAATATTCAGTTGCAAGACTTATGCAACCCCCACCCTTTTCCTTGTTCCTAAAGAATGAAAAAAAATCAAGAACACAGAGACCTTGTTCCAGGCGCATTATCATCAAAAAGTCTGGAGAAGAATGCAAACCAATGTTTCTTTTTCTAAGGGCGAAATCCTAGATGACTTCAATGAAATTGCTTTTGCCACCCCACTGAACACTGTAGCCCTTGAAAGCTACCTGAAAAAATTGTATAGTCAGGCTAATATACAATGAATAAGAGGAAAATATCTTGTGTTTATTCCTGCACCTACAGGAAGAAAAGTTTAAAAAAGGTGGCTGTACTCTCTGAAAGTGTCCACAGCTAACTGAGAGGAGGAGGAAAAAGGTCAAACTTGAGCAGAAATGCTAGGCAGTTTTTTTTAACCTAGGTAAAATAAACCACCACTTAACATTCCCATTGCTTCTGAAGCCTCACTTGGAGCTTTTAAGATGAAAAAAGACAGTGATTTTTTTTTCAGACAGGATCCATTTTCTTTGCCTTTCATTCATGCCTTCTAATGTCCTCAATTTACATGTATGAATTTTAGGCTGTATTCAGGATGTGGGAATGAGATCAATTGGATGAGTAAGCTTCATGTGACTGCTTGCTACAGACTATATGAGGAAAACACTGCTGGAGTGTGTTTAAAAGAAATGTTGTGGGAACCAGGTGTTCATGGTAGGGAAGATTTGAGCACTGGAATGGAGTTGGATAAAGTTCCCCATAAGAAAACACATTCTCATGTGGTTTACTGCAAGATGAAGATATATTTTTCATTTGTTCTGCTCTTGTTTTGGATCATTTTGTGGCAATACGGCTGAGCATGCAGCCTAGAGCACTTGGGCTAAAGGGCTTCCCTTCAGAAGCCATAGCAAATGCATATAATTGCTATTTGATGTCACAAATAATAAAAATACTACTTACCTTTTCTCTGGTTCTTCTCCACCTTCACGGCACTCCATCCTACCAGGGTGTTTTCTTCAACTCCTGCAGAATTATGCAGAGCATTGAGCCAATCACTCAATGAAAAAGCACTGCTCCTGAAGACAAGCTACTGCACGAACATCTTGGAATTTGAAAGATTTTTTTGTAGTTTCCAGGCAGAACTGCTTAAACATATGATCTGACAGCACCCCAAAGGCTTAGAGAATGTGGGAAAATCACATATTCTGAAGTAACCCTTACCTTACTTAATGCCTGCTACAGCCTAGGCAGAATAGGGCCCAGTGCTCCTGGTATCTTTCAAACTACATTTTCTTCTAGAAGAATGATTCTCTCTATCCTTTTTACTCCTGAGAAGAATAGCACAGCCTCAAACACTCTCTTCAGAGCTCAGTAATTATTCCACAACACAATGGCAGTTCCCATCCACTGGAATTAAACAAGTTTTTCAATTAAAATGGCATTATCTCAAAAGTGTCTTAGAGTAAGTGCTAAATGGTACTTGATCATATAAAGATTGTTTATGAAAGGCCAGTAAAACAGACTGGACCATAATAGGCAATATAGTGTAGTGCTGAATTAAATGCAGTGAAAACACTTAAAAGGAGAGATGTAACTAATAAAGCACACCTTTAATTCTGTATTGGCTTGTGAAATTTTCTGCCTTAGACCTTACACATAATTTTATAATCTACCTTTTGCAAAATACTCCAGTAAGCATAGACACAGTTCCCGTTAAGTACATAAAGTTGATTTCACATGATGAACAGCTCCCAAAAAAGGAGAAAGATCCATGCAGAAGACAAGAGCAGTAATGACAAAATCAATGACTTAATAAAATATTGCTTAACTATTTTTCAAAACCCCCCACAAACCTTAGTATTGTACACTTCCAAGAAGAATTAGAGGAGGCAAAAATTTTTATGAAACATCTGAACATGAAGAGGATAACAGTTGATTGAAAAGGTTGTTGTAAACTTGTTCCAAGCATTAGGAAGAAATACGAAAGAAATTAGAGAACAGGTGTTCCAGTAAAGCTACAGGTATGAAAATACTGATAAAAAAATGCATATTAAAAAAAAAAAAAGACACAATATAATTATTTATTTACAGAAAAGCCACTGGCAGTAAGATTAGAGATGACCCTGGAACAGGAAAATGGTAACACCAAAACAAACCCTTGTGTGTCTCTGTAAAACACAGATCTGTAGCTCAGTCATTGATGAAAATGATATGTGATGTTTGTAACACTGAGGAAAAACATTTCATGCAATTAATTACCTTTGAACATTTTGATGTCTCCCAACTATGTTAAGACTTTTCTTTTGGTATGTAGCTATCCACAAATGTGTTTTACCCTGGAATGGACATGTGCAAACTTGCAATGCCCTGGATGTTCTTAAGGATCTGGACATGTTCCGCCTCCTTTCCCTCCCAGCTCGGTGTTTTGTGTCACATCCTGAATGCACCTCCTTCAACCCCTCTCCTGCACGTTTAGCACCTCTTCAGCTCTCCATCAACTCTCCAGTGCAAGCATCTATTTATTGATAACACCAAAGTGTACTCATAAACCCAGAGAAACATTCCTGTGCATCATGCCTAGCACATATCCTGCACTGCCACAAACAGCAGCAGGAAATCATTTGCCCTGGTAGCATTGTTTTGTACCATTTATTCTAATTTTAAAATTCTTCTGCTGCCTCATTTAGGGCTTCCTGTGCTGCACCTGTGTCACTCTGCCTGAACTGTGTGTGGAAGGCTCTGTTAAGATTCACTGCTAGAGAATCCTAAAATATGTTATAATTAAAGCTCACAGACCACACTTACTCCGGGAGAAAAAAAAAAGGAACAGAAGAAACCAATATAAATCCTAAGGGACTTCTAAAGATTAGTGGTGAAAAACAAATCCGTGCTGAAGAAAGGGCAGAGGCAAACATGAAAAGCAGAGTTCAGGGAAAGCAAAAATATCAAAATGAGGTCATAATCCCATTTTGGGACACACAGATGCCTTTGCTTGACTGGCTTTGCAAAGAAGTAATGCAGGGATCAAGAACTGAACTGATGCTACGCAAAACAATGAGCAGAATGCTTTTTAAGGGTGTACAATAACAAGATGCATGGACACAAAATTAGATTTTTAATTGCCATGTTAACACACTGACTTTCAACATATTTTTACCCTTAAGTTTCTAGTAAGTATCCCTCAATGAATAGTTAAGAAAGAACTATGCAAAAAAGTAGAGCCATGATACTGTACAAATCTTTGAACAATGGATCAGATATTCAATTCCCTTAAAAAAAATCACAAATTCTATGGAAATTTTAAGAAAACAAGAGACAAAAATGGCATCCATTAAAAACTAAAAAGCATCCAGTTAAAACATCCTAATGCCTCAAGAAAAAACATTTTATACAAATCCTGTAGTAAGTAATTCCAATTTGTGAACATGATTCTACAAATCACTGAAAAAATGTGGCTATCTGTTGATCTGTCTAGCTATTTCTATATATGTACTTTTACAGAAGTCTGTAAAATTCACTGAAAATCTTGCCAAAGAATCACCAAAAAGCTGTTGGAAAACATTGTAGAGCGAACCTGCTAACGTAGCTTTGCTAGTGGGGTTTCTACACCAGCAATATAATGGAAGAAACAGTAGCAAAAAGTAATCTGAGGAAAATGTATCCATTAAAATAAAATGGAATGCAAAAACAACAAAATGTCTTATTTAAAATAGTGAGCTAATTTGATGCCTGCCTTGTATTCCACAAAGTCATTTTGCAATCTGGATGACCTAAAGTAGATGCAGAAAGGGAACTCTACAGGGAAGTAATTTTATTTGCTATTGCAGAAGATACTGTTGGAAAACCGAACACGCTCTGAGGCACAGAAGCACTTTTCCATTCCTAGAAGACTATCAGAAAGGCAATTGGAAGAGAAAAATACAAGTTATATCCATCAGCATGTGCCAAGGATTGATCCTGGGTGTGGCAGCACCTAAAAAAGCATCGCTAACCTAGAAAGGAACTGTGTTCGTGAAATCTACATGTTTATCCAGGAAAAAAATCATTATAGTGGAATATAAAAGGTACTTGAGCAACTAGAAATACAAGCATTTGTGGATACAGAATTCCTATCTCAAATAACAAAAGGAAACACCACTCCCTGGCCAACATAATAGATTAGATAAAAATCAGAGGGAACACAACTTTGGGGCAGTGACTCTGGGGCAGGTGATAGATAAATTAATAATCACATAGGATCTTTGCAGGCCGAATGGAAGCCAAACGCAACTTTGAGGTGGATGTACGCTTGTGTGGGGTCTGGCTCACAAGTCACTTTTATGCCAGTGCTATTCCATAGGCATTTCAAGGAAAGCACGGCCAGATATCCTGGAATGAGAACTGGAAAACAATTGCTGGAAAAAACAAGCCGCGCTCATGTTAACGGGCTGTTAACTCCAAACCCAAGCACCCGAGGGGCTCCCTGTGCGCCCTTTAAGCCGAGGCCGCCTGTGCCCTCGAACCGTGAGCAGGCGGGGAGGGAGCAGCGGGGTTGTGGTGACAGCCCCTTACCTGGCCGCAGCTCGCCCCGCACCTTCGGGGATCCGAGCCCCGCTCCTGCTCCCGCCCCAGCGCCTCAGGCGCCATCGCCGCCCCTCAGGCGCCCCCCGGCCCCGCGCGCCTTCCCGCGCGCGCCCCGCGCACGCGCGCCGGCCGCGGGCGCGGCCCGCTCCTCCAATGGCCTCTCCCCGCTCCCCGCGCGCCCTGGCCGGGGAATATCCGGGACACGGCTCCGGCACAGCGCCCCGGCTGCCCCCGCACTGCGCAGGCGCGGCGGCGCCGGGCTGGGGAGGGGAGCGCGAAGGAGGAGCGGGGATCGGGGGAAGTAAAAGTTGCCGTGAGGGCGGGGCCGCGCCCGGAGTCGCCGCCGGGAGGGGGCGGGAGAGGAGCTGCGTGCGGAGCCGCCGGTGAGCCGGGGGTCCGCGGAGACTGAGGCGGGGGTGGGATAGGGGCTGAGCCGCGGGTCGGGCAGGGGGTGAACCGCAGTGAGCAGCGGTCGGCTCGGGCCAGGGAGCGGGCACGGTTGTGGCCGCGGTCCCGGCGGGACAGGCGGCTGCGGTGCCGAGGCGGGGACGGGACCGTCGCCTCCTCCCGGCCGGAGGGGCGGCCGGGGTTAAATCCCTGCCGGGGCTGCGTGGGTGGGGAACAGCCGCAGCTCCGCGGCCGGCGCTGCCCCGCCGCTGTGTGAGCGGAGGGGCCGCGGAGCCCGAGCGGGGACCCGGCGAGCGGCGGTGCGGGCTCGGAGCGAGCCGCGGTTAATGTTCAACGCGGCGGTCACATGCCCGCCAGCGAGTCCTTAGGAGCGCTTCCAGAGGCTGTCTGCCTGGAACAGGAAATGCCAGTACAGGTAGTGTTGGAGCTGTTTGAAATGTAATCAGTTTTGCGGCGTTTTGGAGGCAGAATTGTTTGCTGTGTGTTGTTCTACAGATGGAGTTTCAGAGGCATGTGGGTAGATGTATGCGAATATATGTAAATCACCTGCTTAGCATCTGGTCTAAGTTTACCTGTATCCCTTTGATTTTCAATGCAAATATTTTAAAATCAGCTTTTCGGAGGAACCATGACTTGTTCTCTCAACGTGCATTTTCCCCTTCTCAGAATAAGTGAGTTTTACATATTTCTACTTAGTATTTTATTTTGCTCATGGAACCCCCTGCTAAAAACACCAAACAGTGAACCACTTAAGCTTTCCTAACTTTGAAGCTGCTAGGACTATTTTAAGAACGACAACTTAATCGTGCAAACAGCATTGTGCCTGATTGATGATGCCCTTCCACCCCAAGGCAATGGAAAATCCCTTGACTCATTTTATGATTACCTGCTCTTTTCTTATAGAAATGAAAGGGTGTTTTTTGGTTTTAAAATAGTGAGATCTCATGTTATAATCTGACTGTAAATTAGCCTTGTCAAAGGGTAAATAATCCTTTCTTCCCCTAACAAATTGTTACAAAGTAAGAAGTACTTACTGGTTATTTTTTTTAAGTATCAAATTACTTGTATAAAAAGTTATTATTCTTGACCAGTGGGATGTTGACAGTAAAAACAGAAAAAATATGCGCTTGACATTCATATCAAGCCTTGATAGTGCAGAATCTTTTTTTGGCCATACAGTATGCATGTTGTGCCACTGACAGAATTACTTGGATGTGTGACCCAGAGGGTGCCAGGGTATTGGCACTGTCCTTGCTTATTCCGTGGTGTATGCCTCTTGATAGAGTAAAACAGTTTAGTCACTGAGGGATGTAGTGATGGGAGCAAAACCTATTCACAGAGCTCTTCACAAGCTTCAGGGTTTGAGCAGAAACAAGTAGGAGTTTGTTGGGGCCAAGTTCAATGATGATGGGTTGAGGCTAGATCAGGATTTTAGATGTGTAGACGAAGCGAAAGGTTTGTAGAAAGGTTTGCATAGGATATATTAATGAGGAAATATGTGAGGTATAGTGATTCAGACATTCAAACTTTTTTTGACAAACCTGTACATTATGTGTGGGTTTAAAGATGATGCTGACATTACCATTCCTTGTAACTCAGTTTTGTCATTTTTTTTCCTGTTGACTTAAGAAATCAGAAAGCTTTTTGCGGAAGAGCAGAACTTGGTATTTTGCACTTCTGTTAATGATCAAACATCTGCAAAGATCAAACAACTGAAAAGCAAGGCAATTAATCTGAGACAAAAAGGCAAGTGTGAGTATCACTGTAAAGATGCATTCTATCTTTCTGAGGCTCGGGGAAGAGTACATTGTAGCCTTTGAATAATCGCATGTAAAGCAGTAGGAAGATGGAGAAACAAAAATCTCTGTGGTGTCTGTGTGATGATTCACTGTAAATGCTGGCCCATGTCATGGGCTGGGCATTTGTGTTCTCCAAGATCTTTACTCAGAGTTCCCATTGCAGCTATTTCTAAAGTCGGTTGCTCCTTGAAACAGATGAGGGAGGCTGAGCTGTGAACCTGTTGTTTTGGTTTTGATGCAAACAGGGAAGTTTTTATTGGAACAGCTTAAAGCAAAAAATTGTGCATTTACACAAAAGCTGTCTGAGATTGCATCTAAGCTTCTGGTTCTCCGTGCTGGAAGGGAACAGAGACATGTGACGTGCAGGAGCAGTGGTTTGGCATAGGAGGAACAGCTAAATAGGCAAGGGCTCCAGAAGAGACAATAGAGATGCTGAAAAAAAGAAAAACTCTGGGTTGAAAATCTGCGTTTGGAAGATTTTCTAGAGGAGATAACATCAAATACTCCTTTGGTGTCTTGGGGACTTGTTGAGTCAGTGACTGAAGGAGAAAGAATGTGTCACACCAATACCAGCCAGTGGTAATATACTGGTATTGGCCTTTTCTTGTAGTGTTGTTCTTGTTCCTTCTTACGTGTGTGGCAAGTAAGTGCTATTAATGATGTTTTTCTCCCTCTCTGATGTTTAAAATAGTGAGAATTTGCATTCCTGTTAATGTATTTCTGAGGCAACTTCCAAAGACAAAGACTTGTGGCTACTAAAAGCATTTACATGTATCCTATGGTGTGTGAGATTTGTTGACAAATATATTTAACATGGGGGCTAAAGGTGGAAGGGGACAGGATCTGTTCAGAGGCCAAAAAATTATGATTCTGCCTCATTCAGGTGGGTGTAAGAGATTATTCCTTTCAAATTTTGGTGTTTTTTTACATTTTTAAAGCAGCTTCACTGTTTATTTCTTTTTTCAAATGTAGGGAAAAAATTATTACAACCTCCAGCACTGTCACAATACAAATCAGATTTTCATGCAGTTAACAAAATTTGGCAACTTTAAATGACAATATTTGAACTGAAGAAAACACTCAATTCTTGCAATTGCAAGTTGTTGAAATTTTGATTAATTTCATTCTGTTAAGGAGGAGACAGTAACCCCAGTCCTAATAATATTGGCTCATTGCGGAGAATTTTAATGGTTTCCCATCACAGCTTTATTCCCTCATAATATATTTCATCACTCTTCATTCACCATTTTTGTTGTCTTGTGTCTAAATTCCTAAGTTACATCAGTTTAGGCATTGATTTCCCAGAGTTGTCAGGGTATTGGGTGGATTTGCCAGGCTCAGCACAGAGGCATGAAACGGAAGCAAAATGCTGTGTGGCTTAAAAGTAACCTTGGCACTGGGCATGAGAAAAGTTTGCCATTAGTAATTTGTGCAACACACTGAGAATAGTGGCAAAGTGAAGCTGAGAAGATGTAAATAACTATTCTTCAGCCAAATTTTAGGGATGGAAGCAGTCAACAACTTTTAAACTTGTTGGCAGATTTCCACTCAATTTGACAGAAGGGATAGAAGGCTCAAAGATGATTATGTACTTAGAAAGTGCATGAAAAGAGGCAGCTGGCTGGAAGAGAGAGCCCTTGTAAGATGATGTGAGGAGCAGAGTTGGCTTATGCCCCAGCTAGAGAGAAAACTGGAAGAACTCAGCCACAAGGCAGAAAATTATCAGGAGCCCAGGTACTGGTAGTTCCAATGTTCACAGAGCCAACTGTTTATCTCATCAGTTTTATCTTGATGGATATCAGAGATGCTTAAACCCAAATCTGCTTGTAGAAAGTGATTGTTTAGGCAAAATATCAGCTGCACTGATTTCTAAGCTTCTTTAGTGACACTGCTTCTTAAACTAAAGAGTCTGTGCCAGCCACAGCTATGTGCTGAGGTGTACCAACCAAGCAGGTGATAACGTGCAGTTCTGCTGACAAGTGGATTTGTTGTTCTGGAAGCTGTAAAGGCAAGTGCCAGAAATTTTTGACAAGCATGTGTTCTGTCCTGTGAGGCTGCAAAGCTAAAGGTAGCAAGCTGCTTGATGAGATCAGCTGTGACTGAAGAACAGTGGCTGAAATTGGGTAAGGTAGAAGAAGTTAAATAGTAAATAGACATTTGTTTGAGAACCCTTGTTTAGTGTCTTTGATTGAGAACAGTTGTACACAATCAATTCCTGTAATCTGAAGGTTAAGAATATTCCTTTAATTCTTAGATGCTAAAAATCTTCTGTAGCATGTCATTAACACTGTCTGAAATAACTCTTTTCCTGAAATATTGCACTTAGTGTAGACTCAGTATGGTTCAATCACAGAATATTTGGGTTGGAAGGGACCTTAAAATTCATTGTTTTCCAAATCCCCCTGTGATGGGCGGGGACACTTTTCACTAGACCAGGTTGCTCAGTGCCTCATCCAACTTGCCCTTGAACACTGCCAGGGACAGGGCATGCACAGCTGACTGATGGTCTATACTTTGTCACTCACACCTTTGGCAAGCCAAGAGCTTAAAAAGATCTGGTAAACACCAGTGGTTCATAAATGCTACAGTGCCCTTAGCAACACTGGCTTATCATAGACAAGGAAGAAGACTTCAGGCCTAATTATAGTGCTGTTGACTATTGGATTTGGGTTATGGGAGTCTGGTCCAAGTCCCAGTCACCTGAAAGCTCCCCCAAACTCATGGGAGGTGAAGCAACCAAAACTGATCAGCAGCATCACTTATCTGGTTTATGGAGCCATGTGTGATGGGGATAGGCTTGTCAGCAGAATAATCATGTTCTTGTTTTTTTTTTTTTTTTCAAATGAAAAGTGAGATATTTGTCCAATTTAAACTTCAAACCAAAAGGCTTTCTCACCTTATGGAGAGGCTGTGATGACAAATTAACCCCATTGCTTCTGGCACCATTGTAAGGCTCAACTACAGTGCCTCTCTTACTAATGAGTGATAAGCCTTGCACCTTAGTATTTGATGCAGTGGAGAAAAAATTTGCAGTGGAACTTCTACATATGAAAACTGCAATTAATGTGTTCTGCAATTTATTAGAATAAGATTGTGTGGCAGATGGAATTATTTGTATTCATAGCTTTGTGGATGTGGAATTCAGCAGGAAGCATTTTAATGCAATGGGACAATAACACAGAGCTAATCCAGAAACACTTTTTCATTAAATTCTTGCACTGAATTGTTATAACTTTTCCTGAGAGCCAGCCCAACAGCTAAATGCTTGGTGCATGGAGTATTAGTTGTAGGGCAGCCCTGAAATGCAAGACAAAATTACTTCCGGTAAGTTCTTAGGAAATGAATGCTCTTTGTCATTATCCTAAATTGCTCTGGATGAACTCTTGTTTCCAAAACAGAGTGTGTATTTGTAATAAGGTCTGAAGCTGATACACATTTCCACATTTCCAGCTACATTTTCTTCTCCTATTCTCTTTTTGGATTAACTGAAGTGAACATAAAGAAAAAAAAATTGTTACATGATGTTCTGTCAAGGTCATTTTCCAGCTAGATTTCAGACTCCTTGCTCAGTGCTGCCACTAATCACACTTACTATCTCCAGTATTATTAAATCAAATTACTTACGGGTGAGATACAGTAACATCAGTAAACAAACAGAACTCATCCAATTATTCATGGGGCAAAGGAGACTTTTGGTTAGGTTCCAGTTATGGATTTTATTTTTAAATACAAGCAAGTACCAGCATTGCCCTTAAATAATGGGGAACGGTTTTAGGAGTGCAAGACTTCCTGTGGGTATTTTTGAATATGACTGAGCAGTATTAGAGAGCTGTAGGGTGGTTTTATGTGAATGTGATGTTGCTTGTTCTGAGCTAAGCAAAGTTCTCTTCCAGTTTATACAGTATTCAAACTACACAATTTTTGTTTTTTAATACTCCTCATTAATTTTGCTAAGTTTACATATTGGAAAAAACTGTAGTGAGAAGCTGCAGGTTTTGAAGTATACTAATATGTCTGTAGTATCTCACATGCTTGTGGAATCTAAGGTGAATATCTCCATTGAAATGTGAGCCCAAATTTCCCCTCTTTTTTTTTTTTTCTTTCTTTCCCACATATGCAACCCCAATTGTGTTGGTTTATTTAAATTTATTCTGTTCTGTACTGTTTCTCCAAATGTTTGTGTGGGTGATGTAGTAATGCCAAACTGACAGAATAATCCATTGTTGTGAGTGGATCACAGCTTGGGCTTTACATGTGGTTGTGGGGATGTTCTGGAAATGGACTCATTTAACCTTCAACATGCTCCTTCATTCCAACAATAAGGGAGAAAAAACCCTTATTGTTGGAATTTGAAAGTCCTGGAATTGGGGCAGCAAACAGAATATTCTTGCATTGCTGTTAGCACTGTTTTTCTGGTTGCTTTGAGAATGCAACCAGGTTAATGACACATTTATGTAGTGTTTAGGAGACAGCACAAACTTCTGAAAGCTGAGTACTAACTGACAATCCATCCATAAAATTGAAATAAAAACCAGCATAGCTTTTTGAGTGTTGAATAAAAAGATTTATTTCTTAGTAATGTTTTTATTAGACTTGGAGAGTCAAAGATTGAATAACTTGTGTACTATATGGTCTTTTTATAAGCTGTTGCTGGTTATTAGGAGAATCTTTACAGCAATTTTATTTTGGTCTTTAGAGATGTGTGAGAAATTAGAAGATAATAATAAATGATGATAGATAAAACAACTTTTATGGCTTAAAAACAATTATTAGTTGGGGATTTTTTTTTTCTCTTTCCTGGCTATTTCATCTTGCCTTTAGATGTACAGGTTGCTTCAGCTGTGATCTTTATTTTAATTTAGAAGGTCTTTAGCATTTTGGATTTTTTTTTTTCAATAATTTCTGTTTTTTGTTTTTTTTTTTCTTATTTCAGGTTCACTGGACAGAGAATGAAATAAACATGGTGTATTGGAAACTGGAATATATTTCATGGGTTACAGTTAGAAATAAAAAGAAGATGGAACAAAATGAGAGAACAGGAGTATAACACCTGACAAGAACTTTGCAGTTCTGTGATATATATATACATATAAACTTTCAACATAATACAACTAATGATTTATAGTAATACTTTATTGATATCCCTGGAAGAAGTCAGTTACTGTGCAACTTGCTTAATAAGAACTTGCATCCTAAGGACTTTTAACATGCTTTAACCTTAACTGGACACCTTTATTTATTTATTTTTTTAAGACTGAGGGTTCAAAACATTGTTCAGCTATATTTTTACTGGGAGACTGCTCCTGAGGGATGGCTCACAGCTACTCATGGAAAATGGACTTAAGCCCCTGAATGGTTACTACTGCACAGAGTTGAATGGAATGCCATGACTTTAGAAATATTATTGTAGAACCACCTTCTTTGCCTTGCACCCATCATATCCTTAAATATTTAAGTGTGAACATTTTGAGTATAAACTCTGAAAAACAATGGCATGGGTGAAATTCCTAAGAAAACCTGGGGGTAACCTTGGAAAAGTCTATCAGCCTGGAAGTATCCTATCCCTGGCCCCTACAAAAGGCTTACTAAATGAACCTGGACAAAACAGCTGCTTTCTTAATAGTGCTGTTCAGGTAAGAAAAAACTTCATATATTAAACAGTTTTGGAGTAGACTTTTCTGAGTGTCTGTGGGAAATAAAAATGACAATTATAGGAATAAGACACTGTTATGAAGATAATTTTATTCAGCATTTAACTATAAAAGATTGAGAATATTAATGCTTTATTTTGCACAAAATTTTATTTGCATGCATCAAGGATATCTGAAAACATTTTCTTTTATATTTGAAAATGTGGGACTTAAAACTTTTAAACTTTCTGCTTGAATTTTAAAAGTAATGTTTCTGTCAAACACAGCAAGATTACTTCCAAAATTGATATGACACTTTTTTAGGTGGGGCAACAGATTGCTACTTGTATTGACTACGATACTATTTTTATTAAAATCCCATTTTCTCAAAATTAGTATGTGAGCCTGTAATACTGAGATATATCAGAATATTCACATATAGTGAGGGCTTTGATTCTATCTTAGGAAAGATTTGTGGAATTAGAGTGGGAGATACACTTGGTACCAAAGCAATATGACTTGGAATTCTTCTTATAATAAGGTACTTCTTGAAATGCTCAGATTTTGGATCTGAATGTTTTTAAATTGTACAGAATTATTTCTCAAACTGGCCGAGGGCTTAATAGACTGTACTTAATAGACATGTATTTCCTAAAAATTGGAAGTCTTAAAATTGGCATGAATTTAAAACTAGAAGATATGAGAGGTGTAGTGATGTGGTATATACAGTATCTATATGTATTTAAAATAAAATTATACTGTAATTTTAGTAGAGTATTTGCTGTTTGGCATCCAATGGGAGTAGCATGACCTATATTCTCTTGCAGTTCTGCTATTTTCACGTAGGTGCCCTAAAATGAAGCCTAAAGTAATTTTTAGTTCTAGTTTCAGACAATCCTACAACTTCACAACCCAATGCTATTTATCAAACAGTGGCAGATGGTTAGTGACTGCCCTTTTACAAGGAGGAATGTGTTCCTTTCTTTTCTTTTAACCTCTGCTCCACCTTCAGAACTGAGCTTTGGACTTTGGTTTTCCAACATATCCTATTTAATTTTAGCTTTTATGTTTATAGATAGGATATCTTTTTTCCCCCTGAATTTGCAGCTGTTGTCTTACTGTGCCTCTTGACAATTCATTTTTAGGGGTTTTATTTTTATTCTTTAAATGGACAACTTTCTGAACTGCTTCACTTCATATGTATCCATGACATTAGATATTGAAAGCTGTGGGTTACTACCTTTTTGTGGGCTATCTTGTAGGTATTACCTTTTTGTTTCTACCTTATATACACAAATAAGGTAAACACATACCTGCGTAAGAACCAGGATTATTTTGACCAGTGCAAAAACATATGTATTTCAGCAATCATTTTGATAAGAGATTGTAAAAATATAATATAGGACTTAACTCTTACGTAGAGCTTTAAGAAAACTGCTACAGTCCCTGCACAGAGTTTAGATTGCTGCTTGTTTCCTTGAAAGTATTTCAGCTCTTTTCCAAAATACATTGTTTCAAAAAGTTGAAAAAACAGATATAAATTTTCTAAATTTTAAGTGCTGAATGTTAAACTTTCATGTCCACCTCCATAACATACCAAACTAATGGAAAAAACCCCACATTTCCTGCAGCAGTATTGCTACTTAAGTTGTATTCTATGAGAAATTAAAAAACAATGAAAATTGTTTACCTTATGTTGTGTTAGGCAAAGAACCTTCAGAACTGATTACTTATTTTCTCTTTATTTTTGTAGGTATTATGGCAACTTGACATATTTCGACGAAGTTTAAGAGGTTTAACTGGACATGTGTGTCAAGGAGATGCCTGCATATTTTGTGCTTTAAAGGTAGATAAAAAAATCTGGAAGAACCATATTTCACAATGAGGGAAAAATAATTTAAATTATTTTTTTAGAAGTTTGTGTCTGTATCATACCTATCTCTGGGTGACCAAATCATTCTTGTGTAAAGAAGCAGTTTAGTTTTAAGGACATTTTTAAGAGATGTTTGTAAGAGAAATATTTTCTTGTATTTAAAGACGAAATTGTGCAGGGTTCTGGGGTTGGTTAGAATAGTGCAAGTTATTTTTTTAACCATGTATTTGTGATATATAACTCTGTGCCCTATGTACTCACCTCAAAACATAGTAGTTAATTAATTTGGAAGGGTCTGTCCCCAGCTCTTTTGTACACTACTGGTTTTGCTTTCTTGACTCTTTAAGTAATTCTGTTCATTCTGCATTCAGAATCTTGGACATGTTAATTTCCATGCAATATATACACTGGATGAGTATAAACAATGACTTGTTTGTGACTTGAGTGGATTTTTTGGTTGGGTTAGGGTTCTTTTTATGCTCTTGGGCTATTGTAACTCCTCTTATCTGTTTAACAATGAAGGATATTTTATCTCTGTCAGCCTCTCCTATGAACTAAAATCATTGCCAATAAATTCTGGGATTTGGACTTTAGTGCAGGCCACTAAACTGAGCATACCTGTCTGCACACCTCCTTATCTGTACTGCTTGGTTTTTTTTAAGCTGGACATATAAAGCTATGTTGCATAACAAAAAATGACCGAGCAGCCAGAGGAGTGATAGGTGTTTTCAAAGCAGATCTGTTAAAAACTTTGTTTTGAATGTTTGCATGGAGATAGTGGCTGTAATTTTTGTCAGTAGTCTCTGCTTTTTGTTTTGAGAGGGAAGATTAAATACTTGAGAGACACCCTGGAATGAATCATGGTTAAAATACTTTTTGTTAGCAGTGAAACTTTGTTTCTCTGTTTTATCTTTGCCTTCTATCCAACAGATTTTAACCATAGGAAGTCTATGTGAAGAATGCATATCCTTATTTATGCTTTAGATGGCTTCTCCTGTCTTTAGTCTCTTTGGTTCTCCTTAAAGTTTGACGTAGAATTCTGGACTGGATAATACATCTTTAAATATCTGCAAATCTGTAATTCATTTAATAGCTTTTAACTTTCAGTTCTTTCAGAATCAACCTCCTTTACTTGCTAAATGATGAGCTCACTTGGATGGATATCACTGCCAAAAAGAAAAGTAGCAGCCAACTCTCTCTTCTGGGAAATGAATTAAAAACCAAGTGCAATTTATTATCATGTTCTAGAACTGCAGATATTGACCTTTTCTCTTGTGTTGTGTGCACTGGTTGAGCACTGAGCTAATTTCATAGCAAGGATTATTGGCATTCTATCTCATTTATGTAAGGTTTATAATTTTAATAAAGATATACTCCCCTCCTAAGCAGTAAATATTACATTATTTAGTGACTCATGAGTGATATTATGTGATGCCCTAAAAAATACACACCATCTGTAGACATGAGATACATATGGATGAACTGTTATTCCAGGGGCCAAATGAAAAAAGCTGTATAATTACAGAACAGGGCTTGTGTTGCCTCTGGGAGCTCAAGTCAATCACTTTTAGTTTTGTATGTTGTTCTACAGGTTCAGTGTTTAGTTTGGTACCATAACTTCTTGTAGAGGAATCAGCAGAATACAAATGTAGTAACTTGAAGAGAAAACAGTAACTTTGAAAGTTACATGTATCTCTAAACATTATAAATATTTCACATATTTATGCAAGAAATGATGTGTTTGTGTAGAACGACAGTGTCTAGCCAAGTGGTTAATGAAGCTAAGTAATCATTGCATTTCTTCCTAGGCCATCTTTTCACAATTCCAGCACAGCCGAGAGAAAGCCCTCCCATCGGATAACATGAGACATGCCCTCGCGGAAAGCTTCAAGGATGAGCAGCGTTTCCAGCTGGGATTCATGGATGATGCAGCAGAATGCTTTGTGAGTGTCTTCATGAGAGCTGAGTAGAATTCTGGTAGTTTAGGGGTTTTGGTAGCTCACGGGTACAATGTAAATAACATAATCTTGCTGAGCTTTTTTATGCCCGTTTAGGGCAACAGACACATGGAGTATGTGTCAGGTAAGGGGGATGGAGTACTCTTGAATTTGTTCCATGCTTTCCTCCCTTAACTCTGTAGCTCAGGCAGAGCAGGAGGCTGATGAGAATGATGAACTCTGAGTCACTCCTAAAACTATTTTGATGGAGAGGTTATCTTCTCAGGAGAAGCACCTATGGATTTGAATAGATTGTCTGTTCCATGAAGTATTGGGTCACCAGCTATTGAAATACAATGTTTTACAACTGGCCAGCTCATTGCTGAATTTGGCTGCAGAAGAGATTTCCATTGTCTTACCCAGAGTAAACAAATACTTGAAAATATTGCTGTAGTTACTTTCTGCTTCAGTGAAGTGTTTTCCTGAAAAATATGAGCTATGCTGTAGCCTTTAAAGGTGACTCCAAGTGTCACGGAACTGTGGTAAAGAGATCTTCCTAAGGGCTCCTGTGTTTTAGACAAGGAAAATGTTCATCTTGAAACACCTGCAGTATTAACCTTTAGACAAGGATTTGAGGGGCAGGAAATAGGATTGCTGCTTCAGTTACTTTCAGCTTTGGACATCCATTGGGAGTATCCACAAATTAATTCCTACCTGCTAGATGTTTCTTCACGTACGTGGGAAAATCCAGTGCAGAACGCCTGAAAGAGGCTGTCTGAGATCTTGCAGTCATGAAAGAGAGCCTCTTATTACTGCTCCATCTATTCAAAATGCATTTGGACTCCTGAACTAATCATCTATCTGATCTACCTGAATAGATTCACTTCTTCCCATTACCTCTGGTCTTCTTGGCAAAAGGAAAAAATGGCCTTACTAATTCAGAGGACAAACTCATTGCGGCCATAGTATTTTGGAGCCAAGGGGCATAGTTGGAGTACTAAGTTGTAATGTTCTTCATGTATTCTGACTTCATCAGTTCACATTCATATTATTATTTCTTTTTAGGAAAATATCCTTGAGAGGATTCATTTCCACTTGGTGCCAAACAGTGAAACAGATATGTGCACTTCGAAATCCTGTATTTCTCACCAGAAGTTTGCTATGACACTGTATGAGCAGGTCAGACCTCCTTTTGATTGGTTTAACAAATACCTTGTTTTCCCTTTCCTGAGTAAATAAAATATTTTTATTTTTGTAGTGTGTGTGTCGCAGTTGTGGAGCATCATCAGATCCATTGCCTTTTACGGAATTTGTGCGTTACATTTCCACCACAGCCCTGTGGTAAGAGCTTTTATTCTTGTTACTAATTTTTCTATATGCACCCTTCTAATAATATGCAAAGCATGCCAGAGAAAGGCTTTTAACTGTTAAAACTGAATATGTATTTTTTTGTTTACAACATGCTTTTGAGATACTGTTCAAAAATAACATTTGGATTTCAAAAGCAAGATGTAGAGAGGGCTTGACAAAAAAAGTTTGCATTGCTACTGTTTTACCACTGTGTGTCTTCTTTTTAGTTATACAGTACAGTTAATTAAAATCTGTTACTCTTTAGAAGGGAGATCCATAGTTATGGAATTAATTTTTTGCAGTAATGAAGTAGAAAAAATGATGGAGAGGCATGAACGTCTCAAGCCAGAAATGTTTGCACAATTGCTGCAGGCAGCAAATACTGCTGATGATTACAGAAAGTGTCCTGTAAGTAAACAAAAATGTTACATGGCTTTGGGATACAAGGGAGAACTTTTTGGGACGTTAAATCAGGCTAGAAGTCTTCCTCTAAAAGCAGGGTTATGTCTTGTGTTGCTGCTTCAGAGCAGTCAACTTAGGGCAAACAAAGATCTTACATTTATGTTTTATTGTTCCAGTTGTAGAGATTATTGTTTTAAGATGGTGGTGATTGGATATAGAAGTTAAGCTGTAGTCTTCACTGAAGTGTTTTTATAATGAGGAATGTTATCCTTAAATTGTTAGGAACAAACACCATAACTAAATGTTGGGAATAAAGCCATTGCAGTTTTTTTTTTTTTAACTAATTCTTGTGTAGTGACTCACCTTTGGACTTCCAGTTTTTAAACACTTTTATTTTCCTTCCTGTTGTGGTTTTTGTTTCATTTTTTTCTAGAGTAATTGTGGTCAAAAAATAAAAATTCGTCGTGTTCTTATGAATTGCCCTGAGATTGTCACCATTGGTTTAGTCTGGGATTCAGAACACTCTGATCTGACAGAAGAGGTTATGCGGAATCTGGCAACACAACTTTATCTTCCAGGGGTATCTGACCTAAAACTTACTCTTTGCTTTTTCTAGAATTTAATTTTACTTTTTATTTTATGAATATCTGAATATATAAAAATAGAGATATTAATATGTATTTTTTATAAGCATGACTTAACTTGTCATAAAGTTTATATATTTATATAAGGTTTATGTCCACTTCTATGGTTCTTTATAATGTTTGATTGATATAGTTTCTGTGAGAGAAAAAGGTCCTGTTGGAAGTGTTTTGTCCCCAAGTACAATGATTAATCTAGCAAACTTCCTAGTTGAAAATCTAGGAATATAATTTTCAGTTTGAAATTTGTAGAATTATTCCAGAGCATTAATGCTTTACTCTTTCAAACAAAAAAAAAACCCTAAAATAGACATAGCAAGTCTAAAAATCAGTATTTATGCTCAGGAAAGTTGTGTAATACAACAGGACATTAAATAACAGTTGCCTTGGTGAAATGCTAGCAGTAGGTAAGGAAATTGAGGCTGTGTTTTCCACATGTTTTAAAATATGTAATCATTTTTACAGCTGTTTTATAGGGTTACAGATGAAAATGCCAAAAACAGTGAGCTTTTTCTGGTGGGAATGATTTGCTACACGAGCCGACATTACTGTGCCTTTGCCTTTCACACCAAGAGCTGCAAATGGGTGCTGTTTGATGATGCTAATGTAAAAGAGGTAAGTATTGGATTTACCCCTGCCAAATTTTGGGATCTTCTCTTTTCTGGAGAGTGTTGTTCTGACACCAGTGTTGAAGAAAGTCAAACAACTTTTTTATTTTAACAAAAATTCAGCATTAAAGTAATTTTTTAAAATGACCTTTAGAATTTATTTCACTGCTTTATGGTTGTGTATTACAAATGCTGAAATTTTCAGAATGTTTTTGCACTTGTCTATTGTTGAATTTGTACTTCTTTTAATGAAAAATAAGATACTGGCAGCTGTATCCATAGGGATGATATTCTGATTTTTAGCCCTTACAATACTAGATCTGTCTCTTTGTTGCATTTTATGTAAACCACAGTGGTTGACATAAAAATGTTTTAGCTTCATGTACATTTGGAATTAATCATTTGGTGTTTCTTGCTTAATGAATTACTCTTTCTATATTTAGGTTCAGCACTGTTGATAATGTTTTGGGGCTTTGATTTTTGATTTTTTTCTTAGATTGGAACAAAATGGAAAGATGTGGTGTCCAGGTGCATTCGGTGTCACTTCCAGCCATTGCTGCTATTTTATGCTAACCCAGATGGCACAGCTGTGTCCCCAGAAGATGCACCAAAGCAGATTATTCACTGGTCTCAATGCAAGGCAGCAGGAGGAAATGGGGAAGACTTGGGTAATTAGATATGTTTTTTTTAATAACAGTATCAGCTGTATTTCTGAAATGGGCATTGTAAAGGAGAAAAAATGGATTGGCTGCTTTGTTCTGAAATTCTTTTATCAAACTTTATCCAAAGAGTCTCAAAAGATATGAGATTAGTGTGAGCGTATACTCAGTATTAGACCTGTTAATAAGGGGATACAAATTGACACTAATGGGAAAAATAATCCAATCTTGTGGTTCTGTAATTTGTACTGCTGTCTCTGGTTGGCTTCTTTAATTTCATGCTAAGCATAACTTACAAGGAACTTAAATAAAAGGCAAATAGAATTTGACATGCTATTCTTCACATCATGTGTAGCAATAGAACATAGATTTCTTCAGGGAGCAAAGAATTGAGGATCCTGTTTCACTGCAGGCTACCACTATAAATATGGCAGTATATAAAATACTACAGAACCTTCTTGCCTAGCCTATTGAAATGTAGTGTGGTTTTTGGTGATGTTTCTCTTCTGGCTTTTTAATCCAGAATGAAAAAGCCTTCTCTCTTTTAAAAACTTTTTATAGTGGAAATTCAAATTAGGAAGCTTTTTATTTCTAAAGATAAATATGCTGTTTGATAGGATTTGAAAAGCATTCTGCTGCTAAACCAGACAACGTGAAAGAGAACGGAATTGGAGACTCCACTAATCAAAGGAGTAATAAAAAACTTCAGCCAGATAATCCAGCGTTCAGTAGAAGCCATATTCAAGCGAGTGGTGGTAGAGGTCCAGGTGTGTATTCCCTACTACCACCCCCAAAAAAATAAACCAGATATGTCTTATTATGAAAGATTTCAATTGATAGCATTTCAGGTGGGTACTAACCTCAGGACTAGAACTATTTCTAAGGAAAAAAATTCAGGAATTGATTCAGTTGTTATTCAAAGATTTTCTCAATGTTTAAGTAATATCTGAATATCTGCCATGGAATATTAACTTTTCCAGACAGAGCTGTAAATGCAGAATATTTATTACCATTGTTATTCTTTAACTGAAGTGACTCTTGAGGCCTTGCTCCATTTCTCACTCTCAAGCTTTTCAGTGATGTTGCTGATTAAAAGGCACATTAGTGACCTGAGGCTGAGGTGTGGCTCTATGGGTCACTGGCTACTTGAGGTACATTTTTCCCCAACAATACTGTGATATCAGAGCATGGTTTGTAGTCCTGTATGTTAATGGACCTGGTCCTATGGTTGTAAAGAAATCTCACGTTCTTAATCTGTGTCAAATAATTCATTAGTCAGTTTAAGTAGTCCAAAAACTACAAACAAATCTTACTGTCCATAAATGTTTGTGTATTTTGGTAATGAATGACTTTTGAGGAATGACAGTTGACAAGATGTATTTTTTGCAGCCAAGTTAGGATACAGTGAGCAAAAGGACAGGCTGAAGGATTTATCCAGAGAGTGTGCCCAGAAAGCTGCTGACATGAAAAACTTCACATCTTTACGGAAAGATGCAGACAGAGGACCAAGGAAAGAGTCTGGGAGACAAAGAGGTACATGTTAAAAATATAACCAGAGAACCAATGGATTAAATTGCTTTTCACATCAATGCTACTTGTGCAGATTTTATCCTTTTAAGAGACCATACTGTAAGATTAGGCCTTCCCAGTTTTCAGTATGTTAGAATACATACTGGATTTGTAGAGATACTGTAAGAAACATTAAACAATATCAGTTAAATGACTGCTTCCACCCTGGAAGTGTTCAAGGCCAGGTTGGATGGGGCTCTTAACAACCTGGTCTGGTGGAAGGTGTCCCTGCTCTGTGGCAGGGCAGCTGGAGCTTGTTATGATCATTAAAGTTCATTCCAACACAAATCCTTCTATGAAATATTAACGAGAACTGTAATGGAACTTTTTTCCTTTTTGTTCTTCTAAGACTTGATTGGGGAAGACCGTTCCAGTGCTAAGTCAGGGTCTCCTCCAGTTGGAAATGGACTGAGGCACTGCATGGATCAGCGGATCTATGGCAGCCAGGGAAGGGGCCCCTACAAGCATGACAACCAAGCACCTCACCAGGCAAAGCTCTCTGCACATGTGCTTGGATCAAACAAAACAGAGCCCTCTCCTGCTGGGGAGAAACCAGTAACAAGGACTCGAACCGATGGCGTCACTGGCTATGACACGGACACCAGCCAAGACTCCAGGGACAAAGGAAGTATGAGGAGCAGGAGTAAAGGTTGGAAACCAATGCGAGAGACACTGAATGTAGACAGCATTTTCAGTGAGACTGAGAAAAAGCAGCACAGCCCAAAGCACAAAGCAAACCTGAGCAGTAAATCTAAGCACGAAAAGGAGCGGGGCTTTAACCACTGGCCAAAGGAGAACCAAATGCAGAAGGGTTTAATGACTATATATGAAGATGAGACAAAGCAGGATACAGGAAGTCGAAGTTCACTGGATTCTGAGGGAAAAGGGAATGCTGAAAAAATCAAGGGATTTACAGAGAGAAAAATCCATGGTGATAATTGGCAAATTCAGAGGACAGAATCTGGGTATGAAAGCAGTGACCATATCAGCAACGGCTCTGCAAATCCAGACTCCCCTGTTATTGAAGGAATAAATACAGCAGATGCCAAGAATGCGAAGGAAAGTGCTTCCTGCAGGTAATGCTGGTTCTCTTAGAGCTTGCATAGACTGTATTTATGGAAAAATAACCTGTTCTAACGTTTGTGTGTTCTTCAAAACCTAAACCATCCAGGAAAACATGCTTTGAAACTTGCTTGAAGTCAGGTATGTGGAAAGCTAAAGTGTATCTAGAAATAAGGGTGTGGGCAATTAAGTGTTCAATTTACGTTCACTCTGGTTCTCTTTGGAAGGCACTGAGCCAGTTACTGAGGCATTGAGCCAGAACTGCTAAGCCCTGCTGAGGGGCAGGGTGTGTTCATTTGTAGTAATTGCTACGCTTCTTTACTTACAAGATTTTTAGACTGTGTGTAACTTTCCATCTGCTATGGAATAATACTGTGTCTATTTTAATCACACCTGTAACGTTGGTTCAGGCCCTGACAAGGATGGGAATGGCAGTAGGTGAATCTTGGGTGCTGTTACCAGTCATTGTGCAGAAATTCAGTTTTCTAGATCTCCTCAGATACGTATTGAACACTTGGTAATTGATTGCCCTGTCTGAAATAAATCTTTTCAGTGAAGTGTAAAATTACTGAAGCTGGTTGGACTTGATCTCAAGAGGTCCATTCCAACTTAAATTTATGTGATGCTTGAAATAGAAAGTTATAATCCTTCTACATGCAGTTTTCAGTACTGTGTATCTCAAACTGTGTGTGGAATGTAGATCCTGCTAAAACTCTTTCATTCTTTCAAGTTTTGTTTGTATCCATAAAATGGAAGAGCACAGTTGGGAGCCCAAGCCTAGTCTCTAATAGATCTAATTTGCTAGATCCAAGCAAATTTTTAGACATATGTTTTCATGGCAATTTGTTTCACAGGAAAAGAGAATGGCAAATAGAAGGATATGAAAGGGCCTTGACCTTTCTCCCCTTTGTCCCACTCTTTACCTCCCACCAAACTGTACAAAATTTCACTATGCAAAAACCTGATGGGCTTTTATTGGTTAATGACATAATTTTGTATAAAGCTACTCCAACTCAGGGTTGTATTTTCAGTGTTTGATGGTTGCCTCAAACAATGATTTTGCACAGTTGAAACTGTTTCGTTTTAAGCACGCCCAAGAGGCAATGGGGCACCCAAATGTGTCATTTTGTGAGAGAGAATAAGATAAATTTCAAACAGTGTTGTTCATTAAGAAGCTACTTACACTGTTGTTTGAACATTTGTCAAAGAAAGAAAGAAAGAAACATACTTTATCAAAATACAACTGACTTCCTGGGACGTGCTTTTTATGACTGGTAATTTCAATTGGCTGGCAATACCTACTAGTTCCCTGCTAACCTTTCAGACTATCTCCTAAATCCCCAAAAATACAAATTAATTCTTTGAAAGTTCTTTTAGAAAGTGGAAATATTACTGTTTAGCATTCTTCATATTTCTTTCAGTATTTTTCTTGTTTTCCTGTCCTTTCAATAACAGGGGTTCTTCCAAGTTGAACTTTTGGCCCTGTGTATCTTCTTCCTTGCCTTACTCTTGTAGAAGGTAGAAATTGGCAGAGTGTTTGTTAGTTCCCTGTCTGGATTAGTAATGCATGTTTTCTGCTTATCTAAACCAGCAAGATTTAGTAAATCCTCTGATAATATTTATTCTCTCCTTTTGGGTTTCTAGCTGTGATCTTCCAATTCTATTCCAGTTTGAGGGGAAAAAAATTAAATGAAAATCCCTATGAAGTAGATACCAAGTGCCAATTGCAACTTAGAATAATATTTGTTATCAAACCAAAGAATTAATTAATAGCAAATTATCAGATTAGGAAAATGGACAAGATGGAATGTTGGTTAACAGGTTGCACTTACTTAAGATATTTATACCTACAAATAAATTGGATTGGATGACCAGTGGTGTCTGTTCAACAGTTTCAATACTGTAATCACACATATGCTTCTTTTACAGTGAACAGAACTTGCCAACCAAAAAAGCTGACAGTGTGGTACATTCAGTACCCCAGCAGAACAGAAGCTTCCATGGTAAGAACCCATATAAAAATTAGGCTTTCAAAAACTATTGTAAATATACCAGAATTTCTCTTCCCCCCTGCCCCAAAACCCAAAAATCCCTAACAGAGATGACATGGTAATTTGGTGCACTCCCTGTGGTTTCCCCAAAAGCTTTGCTAGGAGATTTCTTGGTGGGTATTAAGGAGGACTTTTTTTTTAAATGTCTGGGTGGACTGTGGCACCATTTGTTTTCCTCCTAGATATGAAGCAGTATCAGGAAGAAACACTTGTAATAAGAAAGTCCACTTCCTTTTACATACTAATATGTCTGCTGGAGTTTTATAAAGTTGATAAATGCCTTGGCATATAAATATTATAGGTCATCCTGAGGCCAGCCAAAATCATTATCTGCTGTTGCTGAAACAATGGGAGGGTGCTTGTACAAAGAGGGGCAATAAATATTAGGCCACTTCCTCAGGAAACATTTGATTTTTATAGATATCATGCTTCTTTTCAAATAATGCATAGTATAGTTTCTCCTAGGACTTAAAGTGGGGGTGGGGTGTTGCCATACCAGTTCTACCTTTTCTGTCCTTATTCTGATTTATTTTTTAGTGCAGAAAGAGAACTAATTTGGTGTTTGCTTATTTTGATAAGCCAAAACAAACAAACAAACAAAACCAACCAAAAATGAGTAGCATAGAATGCAAAGATCTGATTTGCATAAGATTTATTCTGCTTTAGTTCTGTGCTATACCATTCTTATCAAACACAGTTGGATAGGAAAAAAGGGGAAAAAAAAAAAACAGTGAAAAATACTTAAAATACTCTTTAGGCATGAAAAATGAGTGGGTTATAGCAATGAACTGTTCTCTGGAGAGAGTACTTAAGAATACTTCAAGCTTTCAACATGCATCCTACATTTTCTTTAAAAAAGTATAGTGATTCCATGTGATCTTCCAAGATAGCATAAAGAAATTGATGATAAGATCCCACCTATTCAATTATTCTAATTCAGTAACTAACTGTTAAATAGCTTCTTATTAAAAATGCATGTATTGAGATCCATTTTGGAAAATAATACTTCTAATGGAAGTGATCAATGGACCAAAAAGAGATGAATAATTTGATAATTTTACATTTAGTTGAGGTAAAGAATTTATTTGGACTCAGTTTTTGGGTTGTCAAAAAGTGTGTCAGGACAGCTTCAGCAAGGACAACAGCAATAATTTAGAGGTATCAGTTGTATTACCTTGTGTTTCACCTCTGAATATTATGAATGAGACATGGATTGGTAGGTAAATGCCAGACAGACTCCCAGAAAATAGGACTTTAAAAAAAATGTTCAGTCCTTTCTGAGAGAGGAATGGAATGTAAGAAATCTTTGTTAGGCTCTCATGGCAACTCCAAAGAAATATGTCTGAGTGGTTTGTTGTGTGGAAAACTTCTTATGGAAATAATGTTGGACTTCTAATTATGCCCACCGTTTGTATAACTGTGCTTTACCAGCCTCATGTTATTTACTGGAGCTGAATGAGGCTACTGTTCAGCATTGAGGCATTCTGTCCCTGACTTAACAAAAATAAACTTATTGTCAGAACATTATAAAGATGGAAACACTGGATCCGTGATTGGGAGAGCAAATGGCTGCTCCTTACATGGGCAGTAAGCAGTGGATAACTGTAGTACTGAAACAAGGGCCCCACAAAACCAATCCCTAAATTGTGTGGTCAGATTTTGGCAGGAAAATGTAAATATTGAGTAAGCAGATGTAGTATCCATGATTTATATTAATCACTTTGTGTTTATGAAGTTTGAACTGGGTGAGTGAGGAGGCAAAGTTTTTTTTGAGTATGAAGTACTTGAGACATGAGCAATGTGAGGGCAAAACTTCCAACCTCATGTTCTGCAAGTTAAAGAAAGATTACTAATTTTGATGGTTTTCCCATTGTTTTTTAATGGTTTTCCCATTGTTCAGTTCAATAGCATGTGACAACTCAAACTGAAATCTAGGGTAATTCTGAAGATCTGGTTAGTGTGTAAGAAGAATCACAATTGCCTTTATGTGTCACTTCAGAAAACCCCTCAAACCAAACACAATTCTGAAAAAGACAGCTCATATGCTTAGGAAAATTGTACATTTATAGTAATAATTTAAAACATGCAACTGCTCTTAAGGAACTCCAGTTCTTACCCTTATGGTACAGTCAATGTACATAATGTCAAATTTAAAAAAATTAATAGAGAATTAAAGCTTTGTAGCTACTTGGTTTACTTACCATAAAAGAGAAACAAATAAGTGCTTGACTGGAGTGTCTTTGAATGATAAAGATACCTATGAAGGGTTTTGCAACTGAATGTTGCTCCAAAAGTAAAGTTTATAGAATAGAAGGATTTCTCTTTTACTTTTTAAAAAAGAAGATTGCTCACTGTATTTCAGAAATAATACTCTATTTTGGACAAGTTATAACATACTTACTTCCTTGACTGAGAGACTTATTCCACATTTCCAAAACTTCCAGTAAGTTTGCCTGTAATTTCAACTGAATACAGAAAACATCTGGGCTTAGAGACAGGAATTCACCCACAAATATTTCTTACAATAAATATTCTGCTTTGTTGCTGGGGTTTTTTTTGATAATGTAGGAAATCTTAAAAAAAAAAAAAATCCAGGAAACATGCAGTTAAAACCCATAAAGAGTAAGTTGAATTTAATGTGAAATTGAGTTTTTGTTGGAGGTTTTGGTAGGGGTTTTGGGTTTATTTTCATTTGGGATTTTTTTTCCCCACAGAAGCTGGACTTGGTAGATTTTTGCACGTGTTCTGTCTGTGCAAATGGAGATATATTAGACTAGACCTTGTTGGTTCTACCTGTGGGCTTAGTCCTACCTGTAGAATGGCTGTTAATCTCCTGAAAATCTGGATTGGCTACCCAGATGTGAAAATAGACGTCTGTAAATCTTAAAAGCAGACAGGTTTATATGTCAGAACAAAATTACCTTTCATTTATTGCTCAGCTCTCAGTGACTCATTGACAAGGATGCGGGGCTCCATCTGAGCAGGGCTTGTGTGTCCCATACTTAGGTTTGCAGAGAACGTAGAGCCAAAATTCCCAATCGAGCCGGCGTCTGGTTTTAACCGTGCATGGCTGTCCTGTCAGCAGAAGGAAAATAACACATCTATTTTTAAGTTCGCTGGAATTCCGCGGGCACAAGGCACCTGGCGCGGCTGATGTGCCCGGGAGCCGCTCGCTGGCCTCCGCTGCCGCCTCCCGGCCGCCTACCGCACTGCCCGGGAGCCTGCGGGCTCCTCCGGGGGTCGGAGGGAAAATCATCACGGCCTGCAGCAGAATGAAATGTTTCTGTGCCAAATATTACCTCCCTGTTGGTTATCTCACTGTTAGCCAGCTCCGTGGCACACAAGAAGTTTTGAACTCTCAGGTTAATTATTTGTTCTGTGCATGGGATCATTCAGTAAGAATATTTTCCCAAAAATATGATTTCTAAGGTGGTGGTATTGTTTATTGTGACTTTTTTTTTTTTTTTTCATCTTAAGACTTGAGGAAAGCCGTATGGAGGCTTTGTCTCTTGAGCTGTGTGCTGCTTTAGCCTTTACTACCTGTGTTCTTGGTCAAAGATTTCATGTCTTTAGTCTCACGTCACCTAAAAACAGGGCAGATATTGACCCCAAAAACGAGCATCACCAAACAGCAACACTCAAAGTTTTCACTTTACTTCTGCTCTGTTCATGTGTTCGTGAGTCTAAAGTTCCAAGACTTTAAATATTTAAACTTAGGGAAATAACAAGTGAAATAGGTATAGCACTTATGAGTGTATTCTGTACATAGACAAAATAAGCCATTGTATTAATAATAACAATGATAAAAATAAGAAGCCATTCCTTTGAGTGGCTTCAGAGCAGGTGGCTGATATTAGTAGGCTAATCATGGCATTAGGAAGACTTGGAGTGTCTATCTCTCAACAAACAGATTGCTGCTTGTCACTTGCCAAGTGAGTATTTTATGCTGTGTGGTGTTGACAAAAAATACTTCAATGCTTCCTTTATTTTCTGCTCACTAGGAGTGTATTTTCAGGGAATGATTCTTTGCCTAGGAATAAAAGGAACTTCTGGAGTGGGAGTACAGTGGTGCTGGCCCAGGCATTCAGCGCTGTGTGTTTGGGGCACGTGGGTGAATGTTCTCTTTGTCTGCCCAGTGTCACTGTGAGCCTTACAGGCTGCTCTAGGGTTTGAGTTGTTAAAACCCACAAACAACAGAACAACCTAAACCAGTCCCAATCTCTGCAGTATTAATTCTGTTTAATTATTGTAACACAAAATGAATTTTTAGAAGTCATAGTTCTTATTTTGTTGTTTAAATTACTTGGGATGTTTGAATAAACACCATTTTAAGAAAAACTTCCTTTGAAAATGTGCTTTTAGCTAGATTAAATATTAAGGTGATCTTGAAAGTATGTCTACAGGACTTCAAAATTGTGATAATTACCTATTTTCTGGCAACAGGAAAATGCAGAAAATTTCCTCCAGATTCTAAGATCTGACCTTCCGTGCAGATTATCTTCAAAATGGTTATTTTGACTAATATCAAATCTTGAAAGAGAATGTTCTGTTGTATTTTGTTTCTGTAATCTCTGAGGAATCACAAAGAAGGAATTGGATTGTACATCTGTTAATTTGGAAATATTTTCTTTTCTAACCACAGATTTAAAGAAAGACCAGATAAATTCTGAAGTTAACTACAGACCTCATCCTCATGTTGGTTTCCCAACAGAACTACATTTGCAGGTGCCCAGCCCTCCAGTAAAGAGGTAACCAGTACTGACATATTTCTCTGTAATAGTTTAAGAAATAATGATTTTTGTTATACTACAATGAGCAATATTAAGCATTGACAAGTCAAGGCACTCAATATTTTTGATGGACAATTCCTTTTAAATTTTGCATAATTCATGGGTCTAAATTCTCTCTGTCTTTAATTTTGATGCAGACAATGTCAACAAATAGCTTAAATGGTTTGAAACCATCTTACCAGAAAGAGGAATTTAACATTTTTCAGGTTGGAGTTATATGCAACATGCAGTGATTAACCAATTTTTGGTTAGTGGAGTCACCCTATAAAGCCTTGAAATGTTTGTCTGGAAGGGGGGAAAGAGTTAATTTGTGTTTAGAAGCTACTGCTGTATCTTGTTTCTAATATGAACTCAGTGCTCAGTATCTCCTAAAAACTGAGAATCTAAATACAAATGTATCAACTTCAAGTAGCATCCAGTATTTGAAAAACAGATGTATCAGAGTCACAAGGATGTTTAGAAGAGAGCAGAGGTCAGATTTGATTTAGTCCTGAATGTTGAAGGAATTTATCTTACCTTCTTGGGGCACATTTACATTTCAAATGAAAGAAACTCTGGAGTAATTTAATACAACTCCAACTCCAAGGGCTGTATCCTATTCAACAGGTCCTGTCTTGTCAGTTTGAATATTTCAGCAGTTTTACAAAAGCTTTATTTGAAAAAATCCCTGTTATATGAGCCTTTTCATATGTTTTTATGGATACTCACATCCTGCACGGTTTTGTATTTTAGAGCTGAAATGCCTGAGACCAACAGGAAATTTTTCCCATCATCAGCTCTCCAGCCAGCTGTCAAAGAGATTGTCAAGTCAGACAGCAGGAACAAGGCAAACGAACCGAACCCTTGCGAGTGGCTTAACGCAGAGAGGTTTGAGAAGCTGAACGGGCCGGTGTATTGTGCAGACAGTGTGTCCCACCCCTTCCCAGACAATGCCTGTGGCAGGAAGCCCATCCACAGCGACTTTCCCCCCCCTGCCCAGCCACAGTCCCATCACACAAGAAATCTGTCCCATCACACTCTGGGTCCCAAGGTGGGGCTGGTGCCCTGTGCGCCTCAGAGCCTGCCGGAAAGGCCGGTGGTGCCGCCCGCCCCTCCTGGCGAGCACACGGGGCACCCGCTCCGGAGGGCAGACCCCCTCTGGGTGCCTGAAGCTGTGTACCAGAACATTCCTCCCCCCTTACCTCCGAAGAAATATGCTCTGAGCACTTTGGCAGGATCAGAGAATAACTCGGTAGCAGATGTAAAATCAACGGCAGCATTGCGAAATAGTCCATTAAGGCAAACAGGTGCACCTTCAAAATCTGCATCAGAAGCAAGCACAGTCCCAGCTGAACAAAGGCTTAAAGAGCCCTTTCCAGGGAACGAAGTGTTTGTTCATAAACCGGATTCTCCACCTCGCTTATCAGTTAATGAGTTCTGGACTGTGTCTGAGAACATGTTGAAGAAAGGATCTCGTCACACAGGACCCAGCCCTGGCTATGTGGATGGGAACGACAGCGTGTCCCTAACCACTTACTTCTCCGTAGACAGCTGCATGACTGACACCTACAGGCTGAAGTACCACCAGAGGCCCAAGCTGTATTTCACAGAGAGCGGAAGCTTCCACAAGGAGAAGCATTCTCCAGCAGCCGCAGTAGATCTGAATGCCACATACCCTGCCACTCTGGAGCCCAGGCATCCCACCTCGGAACAGAGGTACAAGGCAAATGCAGAAGGAATACACTGCAGTCGATAGGTTCTTCAGGAAGCCCACACCTAGATCTGACTTCAGCATTTCATGTAGTCTGTAAAGGGGCACAACCTCAAATCTGTGTGTGTGTTAACCAGGTACCCAGCCGACTGTACTTGCTTAGGAGTTGTGACTGTTCAAACCGATATGCAAATGGAGGCAAAGAGAAGAGGTGCTAAACTTGTGGTTCTTGGATTTGTTACTCTAGTTGCCTTAATGCTTACCTCTGTTACTCAGCTTGTCTTCAGTTTGTATTCCATGTGGTCCCTTGGGTGTGCACACCTTGCAGCAGCGGGATTGGCTGGATGTTACTAATTCTGGAAGATGATGTGGTTAGCTGCAGTGTAAGCAGTGTTCCTTCAGACTGTGGTCACTGTTCTTAGACTAACAAAAGGGATAAGCATGCTACCACAACTAATGCAGTACATTAAGTCATAACAGAGCAGTATTTATCCTCAGAGGTAGCCGGAGGTGACATGGTTTTTTCAAGCAATGTCTCTCAGAGTCTGTGCTTTCACAAACCTTCAAGTGTCTTTAATGCAAGTTTACCCAGAGGATTTATTTTTTATTTGAAAAGCCTTAATAATAATACTTCTTTAAAAACCATTTTGGTTTGCAACTGTTAAATTAGATTTTCAAAGGGAATTGAAGTAAACTGCAGTAATGCTTTCCTATTAATACCTCTGCTCTGTTAGTGTACGTTTTTAAACACATTTATCAGATTTGTTCATCCTTTAAGCTGTATACTTTAACTTATTAAATTTAACTTCCTAAGTTACAAACCAGTATAACAGAATAGGAATGCTAATTTTAAATACAGTTATGCAACTAAGAAAGATTAATTTTGTAAAATTTTAGATGTAATTCCTACTTATGTTGAGTCCTGACTTACTCTACAATTGCATGCAAAGTCAATGCTGCTATTTATTAAACTCCCCTTTTATTTCCAGGTTCATGGGGATCACA